ACAACTTTCAATTTGGTCAGTATGATGGGTAGTCGCTGAGGAATAACAGGTCCTGTAATCTTCGCGACAGGCCTAGGGAGCCAGTGATGGATACAATCTCGCTACATATACTAACAAGGGACCTCGATATGTGAAGGTGCTCCTGGGCTGACAGTCTGCAAGACCTAACTCCAGTTGAGTGAGAGTAAATTCAGCTTTAATATGTTATAGGTGGTAAGTTATAATTACTACCAATTTTTTTTTATAAACCTATAATTAATACCTAATATTTATTTTAATTTTTATAATTTATACCAGATTTTACGGTTGTCATTAAGAGGTTAAAAATCGTTTTCTCAGTTCACTGGTTAAAATGGCTTCAAATGAATTACCCATCCAAATCTTAAAGATGGTCCTACCTCACAGCCAAAAGATTGGCGCTACAAACTCACAAACGAAGAGTTTTGGCAAATAACAAAATTTCCATAACTTGAAGTGTTATATGCCGTACCCATGAAAACGAATAGGTATGTCTCAATTCTCATAAATACGTTGGACACTATTGTAAGTAAGGGTATTATGCTTAGTAGTCGCCCGCTTGCAATGGTTTACCTACTTCACGCCGCTGGCGAGTATTGTATTTTGTTGATGTTATAAAGATTACCATTTCATTTCCAACCTCCGTTTTGTTTATTCCTCATTCAGTTACAACACGAAGAACTCCAAAAACAGCAACACATGTAACGGAAAGAGAAATAATCTAGATGTTAACTTTCAACACGACCTTAAACAAAAGGTTAGAAAAGAAACTCCCATCAATATTAGAAAGATCTATAACATTTTCCTGTCAGTCAATGGTTGCTAAAGGCTGCTTGGATGGGAACGTCTAATTTTGACACTTGACCATTGGTACCTGATACCACGCCTAGTAAATATCGTGAAGATCTATACGACTACCGCGACTATACATGATCTTTGGTCCCAAGTGAAGCGGAAAGATTAAACTATGTTTCATTTTGAAGTTAGGATTATAAAACTTTGTTTATTTCTATTTTCGAACCCAGCGCTTCCAGAGTTCTGTGATTTTTAGTTTCTAGTTTAGCTTTAGAATTAACATTTTCTGCATTTATCTTTATAATACTAAATATCAATAAATGGAATATATTCTAAAGAGCCAGGTACAACCTACTTAGGTTTCACCTAAACGGATCTTTAGGGTAAGCTGGCTAAAGAGGAAATCTTACCCTGAAGATCCGTTTAGGTCAAACCTAAGTAGGCTGTTCCTGGCTCTTTAGGATTTATTCCATTTATCCTTGCTCTATTTAGCGTATTAAACATTCTACGTTTTAGCTTTATTACTCGTTTGAGGTTTTTTCTTTGGACTAGAAACTTAAGGCACAGGACGATTTATTTCGCCCTGTTCAGATGTTTCTAGTTCTTTCTTTTTTTATTTTCCAATTTTTTTCCTTGGGTACCAATTTGTTTTGATAGACTTACAAGTTGTGCTATCCGAGGTTTTTTCCAACTGAGTATTACTAGTAGTTTAATAATACTAAAAATCTATGATTGCATGAGTGCTTGTGTGGTGCATCCGTCCGGCACATAATGATTTACGAGTTGTTTATACAGTAAGTAATTTTAACTTTCTTCAAACAGACAGTTTTTTAAATTAAAATATTTTTAAGTTAAAGACAGACACAAAGAGATCCCGCTTTGCTGTTTAGAGTAATTATTTATGTTTCAGATTTCTTTAAACAAAAAATATTTTAAATATTTAAAAAATATTTTCTGGCATATTTAAAGATATTTTCAGGTGAATATGACTTTAAAATATTTTTGGCGTATCAAAAAAATATTTTTAAGTTAATCTGATTTAAAGTTCAAGTTTATCCCGGAAGTTTTATTCCTATTAAATGCTGTAAACAATCAGTAAAACTTTAAAATTGAACTTGTAGACTGGTATAATGATGACACGAACGAATTGAAATATTTAAGTGAATCATAATAAAATTTCATTTCAATGAAATGTTGAAATCAACTTCAATGTTTTATAACCTGAACCGTCAGTGACCCAACGAGTCACGGGTAGTCTAGTTTTCATATATTTTTATTGACATCTTTCTCGATAATTACATATAAGTCAAGAAATTAACATCAAAATTTAAAACCCAGAATCCCGTGCTCAGTTCAGATAATTTGTATTATCTCCACGATCTCGGAAATTTTTTTATATATATATATATATATATATATATATATATATATATATTGTCATCCACAGACAGACTGTTTTGCTGTATCACAGCTCATCAGTGTGGCTAGTCGTCCGGTTGCCTCTAGCTAGGATCGAAACCCGGCTGAATTAGCGTCAGTCGGAGATTTTACCCCTAAGCCGTTTTTGTTATAAATTTTTCAGGAGCATATATATTGTCATCCACAGACAGACTGTTTCGCTGTATCACAGCTCATCAGTGTGGCTAGTCGTCCGGTTGCCTCTAGCTAGGATCGAAACCCGGCTGAA